ATTTTTAGGTGTAATAATCAATACAAAAAATCTTGACAAAGTTTTTCTACACAAAATGTGATAACTTTTGCTGTTTTGTTACAATTGCTGAGAATTGGAATTGAATGATTCGATGTTCATGTCATGAATAAAGATTGGCTGATTTGATATGCCTAGGAGTAAAAAGCTTTGTTTGCCGATCTCATGAAATCCTGTTTAATTGTTTTTTTTCATGTAGATAGAACACTGGGGTTGCTGGCGGTATTACTTTAATTATTACTTAATTTCAAATGAGAGTTTGCATGAAGGATGTGATCTGACTGCTCTAATTTCTGAACTACTGAAAGGAGAAAATATCAGCTTTTTGCTGTATTCTCATTTTCTAAAACTAGATATCTCCAAAACTGAATAACCATCTTCCCTCCTACAACAACCCTCCCTCCTTTGCCTATTTCCCTTCAGGTCAATGGAACACATATTACTCCTCCTTCAAGCAAGCTCTCTTGGTGTAACTTTTGACTCTTGTGTTACCTTTATCCTCCAGATCCAATCAGTATCCAAATCATGTGACTTCCATGTTAAAAAATTTATATATTTATCCCTATCTAACACAAGATGATACTAATGTACTCGTTCATGCATTCATCATTTCACATGTTGATTATTGCAACTCGCTTCTGTTACAAACTGCTATTTGTAACTGGCCCTTTAAATGGCAAATTGCCCTGCTTCCCTGGGTTGTGGAGAAGCCTATTTGCTAGCCTCCTTCCACATGACTATGGCCCCTGGGAGATTGTGAGAACTTATGCACTTTTATTGAGTGTGTATGGCTCTTTAAGACAGCCAGTGGGCCTATTGGGGCTTATGGACTCTTTATGGGACTGGTGCTGGCCCTTTAAACACCTTTTTGGGACATCAGGAAGATTGGGACACTGCCCCTTTAAGACGGTGTCCCCAGACTTGTTTGGGACACTGCCCCTTTAAGACGGTGTCCCCTGTGTCCCCAGACCTGGTTCAAACCCTTTGTGCTTGGCTATTTCCCACTTGGTTCAGTAAATGGGGCTTACTGAACCAAGTACCACACAGGCAGACCACCCAGAAGTGGAAGTGTGCAGGCAATTTACTTCCCAGAAGCTGTGGTTAACCGCATCTTAATTGACAATGCTGGGTGGCCTTTGTTGGTTTGCCGAACACGTGGCGGCGGCCATCTTTGTTAATGCGAACGAGGTCAGCGGTATGTGTAGCCAAATTCATGGAACTAAAATCGGCTACACATTTCCGTGAACACCGCTGAGCTCTACCTTCTCCCATACTGATTTTACAGCTGCAGAGACTAAGTCCCAATCAGTGATTTTTTCAGCCTGAAACGGGACCTCCAGCTAACTTTTTAACCCCTGGATAGATTTGTCTGATTTTTGGTTATGTTTATATTTAAAGTGTGCTGATTCCAAATATGTAATTTTTATGAAGATTGGGTGTGTAGTTTTAAAGTTATAGTACATGTATAAAAACTGTATTTTTCCTGCTTGTGTTAATTATGTTAAGCATTGTGTGCCATAATTAGATCACAGGCAGAGGGGAGGATTTTTGGATGTAATTGCTGGGAGTGTTTTCTGTAATGTACGTTTATGATTGGTTGTTCTGTAAACCCCTGTGGGCGGTCCTGTATGTATTAAACCTGCATAAAAGAAGGCCCTTTGGTGCCAAGTAAACAGATCTTCTTGACTCTCAATACGTAGCCTTGTCTCGTTATTGGAGGGAACTGCTATATCACACTGGGGATTGCTATGCTCTGCATATTCCCCTGAGCTTTTAATCACTTAGCTCTTTTAAGAGCTGTTCCTGTTGCGCTCTCCTGGAGGAGAGGTCTTCCCCACACGGTCCTGGAGGACAGAAGCTGATCCAGGGTGGAAGGAAGACAGCGAGACTTCAGTTCAGCTACGTCGGTTGTGGAGTCTGCGGTGGTTGTGGTGTCTGCTGCAGTGTTTGGAGTCCTCAGGAAGCGCTAGGAGCATCCATCAATGGAGGGTACTCGGTCGGAGTATGGGTAGCTCCGTTTAAGCTTCTCATTGGCCTTCTTCTTACCAGCATAGCCCTACTCCAATTTGTTAGCAATGCTACAGCAAGGCTTATCAACCTCACCCACGACTCCTCTTAAACCTCACTCCTTTGCACATCATTCATTCAGGATCCAATTCAGACTGCTAGCATTAACATTCAAACAACACTACTCCTTCTCTTTAAACTGACACTATAGTCGCCCAGACCTCTTCATCTGAATGAAGTGATCTGGGTGCAGTGTCCATGTCCTTTCAACCCTATAATGTAAAACATGGCAGTTTTTTTTAGAAACTGTAATGTTTACATTGCAGAGTTAAGTTCACTTTTAGTGGCTACCATACTGACATCCATAGAGGTGCTTCTGCTGCACTGGCCAAGTAAAGCTCGATATGTATAAGAATAGGGACCCAAAAATGGACACCACCTCTAGTGAATACAATCAATACATAAAAAGGTAAAATTACTCCTTTTGGTACACTGTTGATAGTAAAAAGACTCCTAAAAATCTTGATTGTGATTTAGAGATGGGACAATTATGCAGTGTTAATTCATTAAATGTATTGAATAGTGAACATTTGTTTCTGCTAGCTTGCACTCCATAGAACAATCCCTTAGTGTATTTATTACTGATTAACTCATTACCATTGACCCTTGAAGCTCCTCTGGAGACTCAAAAGGAACTTTGTATTCAATACCTACCTTTCACTGAGCCATATATTTTTTATTTTAATGCACACGGGGGGATGTGAATACAAGTAGGGACAGTGACACTCAGGGCTGGCCTTAGGCCTTTAGGCGCCCTGTGCGAAAAATCTTCACAATACCCCCTCCCCCGTCATCCATGTATGATGTAATGTTTGTGTTGTCTGTGTATGTGATAGTAGGTGTGATGACTGTGTATGATATGTATGCTGTGTGTGATATTTGTAATGGGTGTATTAACAGTGTGTGATATGTGTGTATCAGTTGTATGTGATATTTGTGCTGGGTTTATTGGCTGTGTGTGATGGTTACTTAATTCAGATAAAAACATGCATTTAAGCCTGTGTGTGAATGCAGGTGTATATTTTTGTTATGTGCACACAGTCAGATGCACACAGTTATACATATACACTGTCAAATCCACCACAAACACACAGTCGCAGGCAGATAGTCACATACACAGGATCAGGCAGAAACACACAGGTACAGGCAGTAACACACATACACAGTTACAGGTAGATAAACACACTCACACTCAATTACAGGCAGACAGCCAAACACACACACACACACAGCCACACATACAGTCTTACACACACATACTTACATGCAGACAGCCCCACACACACAGGCAGACAGCCACACACAGACAGACACACAGACAGTCATATACACACACACACAGGCAGACAGACACAGAAAGTCATACACACAGACAGGCAGACACACACAGACAGTCAAACACACAGACATAGGCAGACAGTCATACACACAGGCAGACAGTCAAACACACACACACAGACAGTCATACACACAGACAGACATTCATACACACAGACACCCAGGCAGACAGTCATACACACAGGCAGACAGTCATACACACAGGCAGGCAGTCATACACACAGACACACACCGGCAGTCATACACACAGACACACACAGGCAGACAGTCACACACACACAGAGACACAGTCATACACACAGACAGTCACAAACACACAGACAGACAGTCACACTCACACTGACAATCACACAGTTACCTTTGGAGTTCATTGTGGAGGCAGTGCAGCTCCTGGAGACTCTTTGGTGGGGAAGCAGGGACTCCTTCCTGATTCCCCTGCAGCAGTTATCCGGCACTTTTAGCTCCGCCCCCACCTCACGGTAAGCTCCACCCCGCCGCAATTTATTTTTTTTATGCCGGCCATGTGTGAGCTGTGTCGGCCGCAGGGCGCACCCTGCTCCATGGTGCCCACAGCTCGCACACCCCTAAGGCCGGCCCTGGTGACACTACAGCGTTAGGAATACAGATTTGTATTCCTAACGCTATAGTGTTCCTTTAACCCCTTAAGGACACATGACATGTGTGACATGTCATGATTCCCTTTTATTCCAGAAGTTTGGTACTTAAGGGCTTAAGCTTCAGATTTTTTTAAATTCACTACAATTTGAAGTTTAGTGAATGATCACCAAAATACAGAGTATTTTGAAATATTTCTATAAACGATATTGCTAAATCAAGTACAGTACGTAAGAAAAACAACAAAGACAGAACAGAGTAAGTTAAGGCAATCCGTGTGGTCTCGCACAGAGTGCTGTCTGTACTTATCTGAGTGATGCCTTTAAGAGATACTTCATATAAGGGATAGGATAAATACTCTATTTTTCTTTTTTTTTTTCTGTTGTGTCAGTGTGCTAGTTTCACGTTGAGACTGTGCATTTTTGGTATTTTGCCCAGACATTCAAGCTTTGCAATATCTATGGTGATTTCAAGTGAGTGTGGTAAGTAAATAACTGTGTACCTTAATCTGGCAAAACACACATATCAAGACTTATATAACCCTGCAACAATGTACACTAATAACAGGCAAAACAGTCCATACTTACCATGCACTGCAGAGACTACAGCAGATATCTACTGTGTGAGGAGATAAGGGAATTTGCCTGAGGAAAAATTCCATAACTCAGGCCTCTTCAAAGGCGCACTATTCCAATTAAGCTACTTCTTTGGCGTATGCATATACTCAGATGCAAATACAGGAGGAAAAATGTAGATTTCTGCTAATAAATGAGTAACAGATTCTAATTTTGCATTCATATTGCTATATAATTCCCTTTAAAAATAACTGTAAAATAAAACAATTTAAATGCAATTACCAGAATTTAGACGGCAGCATGTAAAGGGTGTGGATTAACACAAATTAAATGGCAGCTGTTTTTGATATAGACATTTTTTTTTTCATATGAAAATTTATTGGTGTACAAAATTACATCTCTGTCCAACATATAACAAATGTTTTTTTTAGAAGAAAGAGAGAGGGGCTATGGGGTGGGGAAACCACCACCACTACCCCACAAAAAGGTTACAGAGGTACAAGGGGCGTAACCCCACAATCTTTTCAATGTTTTTTTTAATCCAATAACGAAGTAAATAAGTTAACATTTTATACCCGGGAGGTTTAGAACATCTTTATGAGCTTGCATTGCAGAGAAGTTTTCATAATTTAAGTCCCAAATAGAACAGTCATGTTTTAAGACGATAAAATCGGAAAACTGGGATTTTTTTAAAGAGACAAAACGCACATTTTAGATACACTTTCTTATGTAGAAAAATAGTACAATATATTTCGGAGTCGATGGGGGGCAAATCCTAAACAGAAATCTCCCTAACTCAGTAATATAGCCTTAAATCCTTAAAGCATGCATTGCCTACATACATCACCAAAACCCAAGTGCATGTTTGATATTCTCAGCCTCTTCTATACCAAAATGGATATAACACATTGGGTTGCAGATGTTTAATGTATCTATGGCACTATCCATGGAATGCCTAGCTGACATATAAACATTTCAGCAATTCAACCTATAAATGTGTCGATTTACATTTACATCATTTACATTTTCCACTTGTGCAGTAATAGAGGGATACAATTCATTTCTTTAGACATTATGAACATTTGACCTTTTATTTATTTTTGTTACACCAAGGGCATGTCAAATTGCAAATTGTCATGTATATTTAGGTCCTAATATTTCAGACCTTGGACTATCAAAAGAGCATTTTAAATATCAACTTGGATCTCATGATGATTTTTAACTTTTTACACAAATTGACCATAGTTTGAGGACAGACTGTTAAACTGTGTGATACCATAGTACCACATGGTACAACCAGTGCCACCTGCCTTATCTGTGTCATTTACTATAGTGCATCAACCACTACACTCAAATCATATGAATGAGAAATGGGAGATAGCCAAGTAATTTCTTATCTTGGGTTTTCAGGAACGTCTAGATGTCACACTGCCATCTGTATTTTTTATGGAGTGCCGTGGTTCTTAGTTATATTCAGAGTCCACCCCTTCCCCCAGTTTGCCATTATATTAAAAATGGATTCCCTCCATATTGCTGGCCTCCTACCTACCGCAACGACAAGATGCATCGCTTTCTCCATCACTGGTATAATCCACTGCTCCTCACAGAGGACCAATGGAGACCTGATGCGCATGCTTGGCACGTGCTACACATGCATCCAACGTTTCTCATACAAAAGCATTGAATCCATTGCTTTCCTATGAGCTGCAACGTCACAAGATCGCGTTTTACTTGGTCATTGTAGCGGAAGCAGCTCTAGTGGCGGTCAGTACGGCAGCCACTAGAGGCGTGCTTGACCCTTCAAGGAAAACATTGCCCTTTCTGCAAAACAGCAATGTTTTACCTTGACTCTTTAAACATACAGGACCACTGTACCAAGACCACTTCATTGGGATTTAGAGATGGGACAATTATGCAGTGTTAATTCATTAAATGTATTGAATATTGAACATTTGTTTCTGCTAGCTTGCACTCCATAGAACAATCCTGTAGTGTATTTATTACTGATTAATTGATTACCATTGACCTTTGAAGCTCCTCTGGAGACTCAGTAGGAACTTTGTATTCAATATCTACCTTTCACTGAGCCATATAATTTTGCTAGCTTATCAATGCAGAATGGATCCTGTTAAATAGAACAAGGGATTAGCCATCCATTAACGGGCAAGTATATCCCTAAAAAGTGACTACCTGAAAAATAAATAAATGTTATCATTTGTGAGGTGCATCCTGGAAGCATTCTGGTATAAGTGAATACAATGCCAATGCTTCGCTACATTGGAAGCAAGACTTATCTATGAAGCAATGTTTGAGATAATATTGGGTTACATGGCACGTTTTTCACAAAAAATTGAGTTTTGAACTTCTAATTATTATCACAGTTAAATTGTCCTAATTCTGCAGCAGGGATTTCCAAAAGGGTCTTTGAGAACGAAAGTTCAGGTAGAGTTTTAGAAGTTTACACACAAACAATTAACATTGTAAGCAATATGCTACATATCATTAGCAATGCAGCCCCTCCCCCCCAGCCATCCCAGTGTTGGCAGGACAATAATGTTCTTCAGTTCCTTGTCCACCAGGGAATGGTCCCCAATGAGCATAGAGTGAGTGAGCGCATCATTAGATGTGTTTGCGCTATGTTCAGCGCACTAACACAGTTCTTCCTGTATGGTCTGACCTCAGTGGGCTGGCTTGCATTCATTCTAGGTTGGCTTTCTACAGGTGAACACGCCCCTTTACAGGTGAATGTCATGACTGGTCCATAATTTGCCCTTCTCCTTTACTTCTACCTTTCGTTATCAATTATATAAGTGTTTCTCCTCCATTTTCTGAAATGCCCCCTTGTACCTTTCAACCTTCCATTTACATACTCTTGTGGATACATCACGCTTTCTAGTCCTCCTTTACAAGTCGGAATATTCTTATCTGATTCCTCACTTCTTATTTTCTGGTTTTACCCAGCAATCATTTCCCATTCTATCGTCCTCTGTTTCTCCTATAGCAGACCATTTCTCCAGTCTTTTTTTCTCACTCAATCCACATTTTCTCTGAAAGTCTTAGTTACCTCTCTCTACTGCATTTTCAAACTCACCTGCTTCCTAATCGTCATCTTTTTCTTTAGCTCATGAAATTTTCTTTTACCATTATTCCAGTTTTATCATTATTCCATTCCCAGTTCTTTATTTACCTTTCACTGCTCATTTTACACGTTATATTCTACTTTCTGTACTTTTACTCTCTTGTCTCTATTAATCCTCTCTTATCCACTCCCAACAGGGAAATCCACATCTGTATCAAAGTGCATAAGAAAACACCTCCAGCATTTACATATCTCTTGGACTGAACCTGGAGCCTGTTAAAATGGTTTGTGTTGCAGGTTCTATTTTGCTACATGTTTGATGCATGTATGAAAAATACAACATATTAGGCACATATAGCACATCATGTCCTGGATGACTCTGCAAACAAATTGCTTAACACAACCCACAATTATGTCTAGATACCAGACTTTATTAAACGTTTCAATGTGCATAACTCAATGTTTTTGTACTCAGTAAGAAATTACAAATATCAGATCATTGGGCAACCCGCCAATGAAATAAACTTAAACATCTTAATTAGCCATATAGGACATGTTATGTGTTTACTTAATTATGTCTAATTTTTTGAGGACTATTTTTAGCTTGTTTGAAATCCTCTGTTCTTGAATTTGTATGATTTCCCAATAAGAACGATCCTTTTATTTGTCACATATGTCAGGAAATCATCTTAGGAAGCAAATTTTCCTTCAGTGGGGGACAAAAATAAATGATTGACACTTCTGCTTGCCAAGTGGTTCTGTAGATGATTGGAACGCAAACAGCTGTCATAAGCATGACAGTATGACACTATCAGAAGATTTTAAAGCCAACACCAGACACAATGAATGGCTGTTGGTCTTGTAGTTGAGTCGTAGTTACCCACCACACCACGTAATCCACCCGTAAGGGGCCATTTTATTTTTCTTGGAAATATGGGCATGTATCTTCTACCAAAGACATGGTAGTCATATCCCTGATTGCATATTTTATCACAGTTCACTTATGTCCTCAATATCACACAGTGTTTGTAGAACTTGGATGGAGTTATAACATTCATTCAATTATTAGAATCTTTTGATAAGAAGACTTCTCAGGCAAACCGTAGTAATTGGTCATCGTTGCCTGGAGAATAAGTTTCGAAACGCATTGTTGTAATTTTTGTTAAAGGCAGTGTAGATCAGAGGATTGAAGAATGAATTTGAGTAACCCAGCCATAAGAATATACTTTTCCAGATTGGTGGTATGTCACATGAGCACAAAGGGTTAATTAGTTCTGTGATAAAGAAGGGAATCCAACAGAGAACAAAAACTCCAATAAGGATTCCCACCATGAGAGCAGCTTTCTTCTCTTTCTGTTCCCTCCAGGTGTCCCCATCAGTCTGGAAGGTGACGGTTGCATGTCTGACAGTAAATACCATCTGGGGCTGGTGAGATGCCTCTTTTACCTGCAAGACACAGTATCTATGATATGGCTCAGTTTTAGATATAAAGGTAGGAACATGCACCGGTTACACACACACACACGCAAAAAATATATATCAAGCATGCAAAGGGAAGGATATGACCCATTTGGACATACAATGTTGTCTGTCTGAACATTCTCAGGTATAAGGTGTCCCACTCATTTTAGGTAACACAGACTATGATCATTTTAATGAAGGAACTGCAGAAGTCATTTTTTAAATAATTTTAAAAAACAAGCATAAAATACTGTAATATAAAAATGGAATAACTGCTGATCTAAGACAACACGCAGCAATGAAAGGGTCAAGTCACACATACAGAGAAACACTGCATATACACCCACCCAGTAATGTGTGGACGGGTATGTGGGCGACAGAAATGTGCATTTTGGTGTTTGTATTGTGCAAATGTATGTATGTGTAAATCTGTCTGTCTGTCTGTCTATTATCTATCTATCTATCTATCTATCTATCTCTATCTCTCTCTATCTCTATCTGTCTATCTATCTATCTATCTATCTATCTATCTATATCTCTATCTGTCTATCTCTCTCTCTCTATCTATCTATCTATCTCTATCTGTCCATCTATATCTATCTATCTATCTATCTATCTATATCTGTCTATCTATCTCTATCTCTATCTGTCTATCTATCTCTATCTATCTATCTATCTATCTATATCTCACTCTCTCTTTCTGTCTATCTTTCTACGCACATATATATATATATATATATATATATATATATATATAGGAGAGAGAGATAGATAGATAGATAGATAGATAGATAGATAGATAGATAGAATGATAGATAAACAGATAGAGATAGAGATAGATAGACAGATAGAGATAGATAGATAGATAGATAGATAGATAGATAGATAAATAGATAGATAGATAGATAGATAGATATACAGATAGAGATATATAGATATCTATCTCTATCTATCTCTCTATCTCTATCTATCTATCTATCTCTATCTGTCTATCTATCTCTATCTATCTATATCTCACTCTCTCTTTCTGTCTATCTTTCTACGCACATATATATATATATGAGAGATAGATAGATAGATAGATAGATAGATAGATAGATAGATAGATAGAATGATAGATAAACAGATAGATAGAGATCTAAATTAATGTAGAATATTCGTGGGTGTTTTTTCTTACAATTAATGTATATACACACACATAAGACAATGAGCTAGTTAAATGTAATTATATCATAATATTCCTATCAAGACATCTGTCGACAGGGTTAAATATAATAGCATGCACTCTATAAATGCATGTGTCTGTCTCTCTCTAACCTGTGTTAATGGGGGTTCCGTCCCAGTGATACAATGTTACACATTCCCCAAGGGGAAATGAACACATTCGTATATAACCAGCCATGGGTCATTTCATGAAACCTAGCTCAGATAATGGAAACGTGATTTAACCATATTACATGGTCGACTCGTGCTTTATCCTCTAGCCCATCAAGCTATCTCACATTGTGTCTGTCCTGATCGAATTTTTCCTGTACGCTATCTGAACACCCAGAGAACAAAACCCAATCAAAGCAATGAAATTATCTCCCACTGAAAGGGTTACTCTCAGAACCCAACGCAACCCAAAGTAAACCAACCTGTATCACCTCTGGCATGGGTGTGATGGTGTTAGTCTTTTTAGACCCAATCCGAAATTTTGCTGCCTTGTAGATTTTCCAGTACACAAAAAGGACCACGCAGAGTGGGAGGTAAAAAGCTCCAAAGGTAGAGAAGATTGTGTAGGATGGTTCCTGACTAACTTTGCACTCCTCATCCACCTCTGAGTAGGTCTCCCCCCATCCAAAAAGAGGGGAGAGAGAGATGACTGCAGACAGCAGCCAGGTTAGTAGTATCATAATGTTAGAGATCCTCTTTCTGGTCTTCAGTGTATATTCAAGGTGTCTGGTGATGGACCAGTATCTGTCCAAGGCGATGGCAGTGACATTCCAGATGCTGGCTGTACAGCAGAGGACATCGAAGGAGATCCAGATATGGCAGAGTACCCTGCCCAGCCTCCAACGCCTGCCATTGAGCTCATGGACCAAACTCAGGGGCATCACTAAGGCAGCCACCATCACATCAGAAATGGCCATGGAAGCCACCAGATTGTGGGGGACTCGATGGAAAGTTCTCACCCTCAGGATGGTCACTAAGACTAGGACATTCCACATGAAAGTGGCAATCACTAGCATGGCCAGCAGAGTTAATATGAGGACACTGAAGACCGAGAATCTGTGTTTGCCCAAATTATCTTCCCCTGAGCTGACATTTGCAGTTACTGTGATGTTCCATTCCATCCTAGTTTATGCTGGAACCTGGGAAAGTCACCCCAAGTAGACAATGGATAGGGTGGCAGTGGAAGCCTCCTGAGTTAGATCCCATAAGGAGCCCTGTAGAGCTCCAGGTTACCAGGACTCCAGGCTGGCACACCAGCTACTACCAATAAACCACTCTGGCTCTCCCATGGTCCACAATGAGAGAGAAACTTGGAAGTCCTTGAACAAAAGCAATGTCTTTTCCCAGCAGAGACATGATCTGAGCTTCCCAGACTACTTGTAATCAATGAGAAACGAAAGAACAATCGGAGAGACCTGATTCTACCCTCCCATCTCATCAACTCATCAATGCATTGGTGATAAATATCCTTAGCACTCCAGGCTCACTGCCAAGTGGATGGAGTCACATGGACCTATGTTAAGTAGAGTATAAATTAAAAGAAATGTTTGGACCCCAGGAGAAGTTGCAGTGAAGTGCTTCTCCCACCAGACTGTGATCCCTGGATCCTGATCAGAGTTCATGTCCAGCTCAGGTCACTTGGAGTCTGTGAGAAGGAAGGATTGTGAGTCCAGCTCTGCTTTTTATTCTAAGCTTTTATTCTGAGGGTAAAGCAGCCCCCTACGTCAAAGCTATCTGTCAGCTGATCCTCAGAGTCCACAAGCTGCGATGCAGCTCCCGCTGTCAGTGATAGGAATGCTTTCCAATAATGTGTGGGTAGGATGGAGATGCAGGGAGACTCGGAGCCCTCCTTCTGCTGGCACTCTGTGTGATATTGCATGCATTCTGTCAGCTGCTCACAGGCTCTGTCTGTATTCATTCACAAAGGGCTGGACCAGCTACTAAAGCAGGCAGGGTCAGTGTCAGCCACCTGCCTTAACTGGTTAGTGCAACGCCCATCACCCCCAGGCAGTCCAGCCAGCCCAGTCAGCCCAGCCAGCCTGCAGCTGATAGCATGTATCAGGGAATGGAGGCAGGCTCAGTTTAACGCCTCTAGATACCTGCTCTCTAAGGCAGTACATGAATGCATCGTTAAAAAGAATGTTTTGGAATCATGAAAATAGCATTTGCTGGAAGTAAAAGAGTGTTATCATCTTTTTATTCTTCTCGTTATTATTATTAATATTATTATCATCATCATTATTTTATGTTCATTATTATTGTTATTATTGTTATATATTCTATGTATTATGTTTAGCATTATTATTATTTTATTATTATTATTATTATTTTATTTATTATGTTTATTATTGTTGTTATTATCATCATTATTCTATGTATTGTGTTTAGCATTATTTTTTATTATTATAATTATTATCATTATTATTACAGCTTCAACAGATCTAGCAGCACTGAACAAGGAATAAACAAAACACACATGTGGATAATGACAAATGTAGGGAAATGGGGTCAGATTATAAGTGACCTCTTACAGGCTAAATAAAAATTGTTATTGTTGCAAAAAAAAATAAAAAATTTTTATCCAGATATATAGATTGCTAGGTGAGCAGTCTGTGTATAGCACACTGCAGGTATTAATAATTATTCACATTCATTTTATGCATATCCATCAGCTGTAGAATAAGACATTTGTGACAGATTCAGAGAAGACAGTGCGAAAACAGAGAGACAAAGACAGGAGGAAGACAAAACTGAAGCCAAAGGGTTAATGGTGAAGTCAGTTGACCAAAGGGACGCAGTCAGGGAAGGTTACTGCTTGATGGACAAAAGACAATTGTTTTGGAGGGACTGGAGTTTAAGAACCTGGCAAACATCCAGTGAGAGAAGAGGCAATTAGTGATACAAAGGATGAAGAGAGAGATCAGGCAAGAAAGGTGTCAGTATATTATGAACTTTGCAGAAACAGAGCAATTACACATTTATAAAAATTATTAAAACCTTTGCATTTTTATCACGTTAGAAATAGAAATTATCACTAGGGAATTATTAGCTAAGCAGTAAGTCGTGATGTGTTGACAAAATTTTAAAGAAAATTACAAAGAAAGTAAGAATTTTAACAGCAGCCATCTTGGTGTAAATTTAAATACACAACTTGCTGGTTAGCGAATAAAAGAGTCAAATTTAAAAAATAGCTGACATGGGGATTTTTATCAGTCTCAACTATTTCACTTTTCCCTGGGGTTTTATTCACTAAAGATTAAACCGAGCCAAAATGAAAAGAACACGTGAAGGTTACAATAATTACAATGCAGAAAGTCTCAATTCTCAAACTGATCTTTGGAGCTATATTTTGAGAACATTGGTTTCAATTTACCACAACTCACAGATTAGTAAATGATTCCAAACTAATTTAGCAGAATCACTATGCCATATTGAACAGGTTTATACAGAGCCAGTTACTTTGAGTGCCACAGTGTTAACCCACTTTAGATGCAGCTTTTTCTCAGCTAAAATTTCAAATATAACATAAGTCACAGGGGAAACGGGATACATAAAGAATGAGACTGTTTGGGCATTTAGAAAAGTCCCAACCTTGGATAAAACATTGAAACATGCAAACGAACGTATCACCCCACCTCTTAGTAGTGTCAGGGGATGCCAAGTCTACCTGACACTATTGCATAAATCATCAGCCTGCCTCCATTCACCAAAGTCTGGCTGAACATTATATAAGACCTCACTTGGAGTATTGTACACAGTACTGGAGACCGTATCTTCAGAAGGATATTGATACCTTAGAGAGGGTTCAGAGAAGGGCTACTAAACTGGTTCATGGATTGCGGGATAAAACTTACCAGGAAAGGTTAAAGGATCTTAACATGTATAGCTTGGAGGAAAGACGAGACAGGGGGGATATGATAGAAACATTTAAATATATAAAGGGAATCAACACAGTAAAGGAGGAGACTATATTTAACAGAAGAAAAACTACCACAACAAGAGGACATAGTCTTAAATTAGAGGGACAAAGGTTTAAAAATAATATCAGGAAGTATTACTTTACTGAGAGGGTAGTGGATGCATGGAATAGCCTTCCAGCTGAAGTGGTAGAGGTTAACACAGTAAAGGAGTTTAAGCATGCGAAGGATAGGCATAAGGCTATCCTAACTATAAGATAAGACCTTTCTAACATGACCTTGTGGGAGGCACTTAAATCGGTAGTACGAGGCACGCTCATCCACTTAGCCTCTAAAAAAACAGAAAGACTAGCAACAAATATTAAACACCGTGGTGGATGCCATATCCAAACTAGAGATTCAACACAAAAGATCCCAAATAGTGACTTTTTATATGGAGTTGCTGGAAGCTAGGAGGCAACTGGTCTTGCTTCTTACCCAGCGGCACTACCGAGCATTACAACGCTCAAGGAACTTCTACAACATACATGCAAACAAGGGGGTAAACTCTTCAACAGACTACTACTCACATACACAAACTTAAACTGCACTCAGGCAGAACATCGCAACTCCCTAACGATATTGTGTAGGAATTTGAACATTTCTACTCCTCACTTTATAATTTACACAATGTGAGAAATAACACCCTTATGTATAAGAACTGTTGAATCCAACAATATTTAAAGAATTTCCCTCTGCGGATCTAACTCATGCAGAGGCTGAGCAGTTGGACTCACCTATTTCCAAAGAGGAAGTAAGAATAGCAATTAAAGTTGTTAAGATGGGTCGAGCTCCAGGACCGGATGTCCTAACACTAGATTATAATAAGAAGTTCAGTGATATTCTTATCCCACAATTGACAAAGGCCTTCAACCACTTGACAGACAGAAGTCGGTTTCACCCGGAATCTTTAGTGGCCACGATAGTTGTCCTACCCAAACCAGATAAGGACCCTGATATTTGTGGAAGCTATAGACTAATCTCTCTTTTGGATGTGGATGTCAAGCTGCTCACGAAGGTCCTCTACTTCAGGCTGTGTAATGTCCTATAGAGATTGGTCCACCTGGATCAAACAGGAATCATCCCGGGACGCGAGGCAAGAGACAGCACTCTGCGACTACTGACTATACAACATCTTGCACAAAAAGAAAGGTATCAACAACAAAAAACATATGTGAGGAAGGCTGAACTTGATGGACGCAAGTCTCTTTTCAGCTATGTAACTATGTAACTATGTATACCTTTGTTACTTAAATCGACCGATACAGAGAAAGCCTTTGACTGGGTGGGCTAGTCCTTCATGATGGAGACGCTACGGGCCATGGGCTTTGGGAGTAAATTACTGAATTGTACAATAAAAATAAAAAAGCACAATCAAAAAATCTAAAAGATGCCAATATATGATAAAGGTAAATGCTGCTTAACACATGAAAGGTGGTTCCTAATGACCTTAAAAAACAAGCAATATTAAAAGTATCAGTGCTACAGAAAGTCTTGCCCTTAATCGTGAAAAATATAGCAGTATATTATTGTAGGTATAGTCTTTATTCACCTCCACAGTGGTGAATATGCCTTAGCCAAAAAAATAACTGTATTCCTGGTACTGTGATTAGAAATGAAATGATGTTGAGAATCCACAGTTTATTAAATGAAAAAGTCCTTGTGGAAAATAAAAATATAAATACAAAAAGTAGTATAAAATATAATGATAACCACTAGTTAGTCCAGTACATGCAGTTGAGCAGTGAGTGGGTAAAAGAGTGTTACCCTTCTGTTGGAGCACCTGAAGCAGTAGAAACGTCTTTCTTCAAGCCGCAATGGTGATAATAAAACCAGAAAACCGGAGGGACGCCGTTGCCTCAAACCGCTGCAAATTACTGCTGGTACCGGAGAAATCTATAGATGTATCATTGAGCATTTTAAGCATCATGACATCTATTTCTAACACTTATCTATAGATGTATCATTGAGCATTCTAAGCATCATGCGATCTATATTTAACACTTATCTATAGATGTATCATTGAGCATTCTAAGCATCATGACATCTATATCTAACACTCCTCAATTTATTTCCACTAGACATATATAGAGAGACAAGACTCTTATTTTTTGACACCTTGTATATACTTTATTTCTTTTTATTTTATTCTCTAAATGTGCATTTTTTGGATTATAATATTACCATCTATCCATTTACATCTGGGAGTGCAGCCCCTAAATCTGCACATTACTCAAGAATTAGATCAATTTAGACTCTTGGTCTGTAAGTACCCATTTGGGATCAACACTTTTATTTTAACTTGTATAGACTGTACTACGCTATCTCTGGTCTATCTATCTCCCTGTAGGACAAGACGTATATCCTAAACAGGGGTGGGTCGCCTAGACGGACCCGAAAGTGATTTCAACTAGAGCTGGGTCCACAGCTCTCTGTTTGTGAGCGAATAACACCATATACGAATAGATACATAATTGCACAGTTATATACTATCTGCACTATGTATGATTGTCTTTTGTAGATAAACCATTTACTGGACACCTGAACAAGGGGGAAAAAATCATATCTCGCCCAATTACCAAAAGGTGACAGCATACTATTTATTATACAAGCGCTACATTCTTTAAGGAATTTCTTTTTCCTTTCTACTGTTTGAATTTATTTGGTGACATTGAAGGAGTCATGAGAATGTTTAGCAGCTAATTATTACTGGATATATATCTTTCTATTGGGAACAACAAGCGCTGAGTCCTTAACCTTTCTTTTCTTGTAATTCATTTTAGTTACAATGATAAAATTGATACAAAGTAAAATAAGATACATTCTTATTCAAAGGGAAACACGTGTATATATCGCACATTAATCCATTGTTAACACGTTGTTCCGATATCAGGGGTGTAACTGTAAAATCAACCCTTGGTTAAAAAGGAACTCATTTGAAACTATTCATGAACGGTTCATTACATAAATAACCAGATGTTATTACTTACACTGTGAAAAAGTGCATTTGGAAAATAAAAAATAAATAAGCAAATAGTATTAAAATAAATTGAACCCTAGACTAGAGAACATTAGGAAGAATGAATAATTTATCAAAATGTATAAAAACTTAGGGGTGAATGAAAGGTAATATTAACTTCACATTTTGTTTATGTAATAAAACCCTAAAAACAATTGTTTTTAATAAAACATTAAAAAAACTAAAACAATGCTTAAAAAAAACTAAAAACAATTCTTTATAGGCACAACTTAATAAATGGTGCATAATCCCACCTAGTGGTGAGTGTTAACAAATGTTAAAAGAGAAATATGTGCACAGATTATAAGTATAGGAGAGGAAATATATGGGAGCTGTCCACAATAAAATTCTGAAACAAATCTAGCAATCCCAATCTGAGGTTTAAAGAATGTTAATTAGTTCTAATTCTGCATTGAGTCCAAATGGGACTAAGGTTTTTAGACTGTAGATCCAGAACATTTCTTGTCTACTTAATCTTTTGCTCCGGTAACCTCCTCTCCAGGGTGTGTGTACTAGTTGGATCCCACAGAATTTAAGTGTTTTGGGGTCACCATTATGGACTTCCATAAAATGTTTGGACAGGGTATGGTTCTCGAACTTTCTTTTTATGTTGCAAATGTGTTCTCTGAAACTGATTTTCAGCATACATTTAGTTTGGCCAACGTATTGAAGACCGCAATCGCATTCTAATAAATATATGACCTGCTTGGAGTGACAGGTGATGCAGTCTTCAATATTGTAGGTCCTAATAGTTTTATATGATCGAAAACTAGTTGTTTTTCCAAAAGGTGGCCCTGTAATTTTGCATATATTGCACTGACCACATTTGTAAAAACCTTTATTTTCGTTTAAACATGCTTTTTTATTTCACGGGCTTGAGAAGTGTGTACTATTTTTTGTTTTATGGTTGGTGCTCCTCTGAAAACTATCCTAGGTTTACGAGGTAGGACTGTACCTAATGTGGGGTCCTGAAGTAAAAAGCGCCAATTTTTATGAATTATTCTTCTTAAGAGTGAGTATTGTGAACTGTAATTAAAAATGAGGGGACAGTTGAAATTATTTTCAACATTTTTGTAGTCCCGAGATTGTAATATTCGTGTTCTATCCAAATTATTCACTTTTTCTATTGATTTATTTAATAATTCTATATTATAGGCTTTTTCTTCAAATATTTGTTTAATTATTTCTATTTGTTGTTGGCAGACTGACTTGTCTGTACAGTTCTTTATAATTCTATGAAATTGACCCAAGGGGACATTATTATTTCAGGGTGGGTAGTGGCAACTGATATTCAGGATAAAACTATTGACATCCACGCTTTTAAAATATAGTCTTTGTTTTTAGGACATTATGGTCAACATAGAGCACCAAATCTAAAAAAATCTATTTTTGTGCGATGGTATTTGTAGGTAAAAGACAAGTTAAAATCGTTAGTGTTAATATACTTTAAAAATTCTAACAAAAGCTTTTCCTCTCCTTCCCAAATAAAAAAAACAGTCATCTATGGAGCATCTAGATTCGTCACCGAGGGATGACCTTCTCAAAAAAACAGATGTTCCCAGAAGGTCATGAAGATGTTGGCATAATTAGGTGCGAATCTAGTCCCCATCGCTGTGCCTGTGACTTGAAGCTATATTTCTTGATTGTGCCAAAAGAAATTATTAGTTAATATAAAATTGATGCACTCTAGTAAAAACTCTCTGTTCTAAATGCATGTCTCCTTTTTGATAGAGAGTGTATCGGATTGCTGGAAGGCCTAAATAATGTTTAATAACAGTATATAGTAATGTAACATCACATGTAACAAGCCAAAGATTATGATTCCATGATTTTCCCCCTTCCAATTTTAGGAGAATTTGTAGATGTCTAATTCAAGTGAAATGATGGCTTACACATGAAAAGTCCTGCCACTGAAGGACATGTGTACCTTTAAGAAACCCTGACAGGCATCATAATCCTACAGGGTATATACTATGAGCGAAGGATTCCACACTAAAATTCCAAAGAACTTTCCCACCCTGTGTAAAATGTCACAAAGCACTCTGATTGGTTACTTAATCCACCAATCAGAGTGCTCTGTGTCATTTTACACAGCATGGGGAAATTCCAAAGAACTTTCCCACGCTGTGTAAAATGACACAGAGCACTCTGATTTGTGAATTTCAAGCCAACCAATCAATGTTCTGTTACAGGTAAATGTAGAGACTTACCTGTCAGTCTCTTAATTTACCTGTCAGAGCACTCTGATTGGATGACTTAAACCCACCACTCGGAGTGCTCTGAGCCTAATTGCAGGGCGGGGCAAGGCTTTGTAAGCCTTCCCCCGCCCTGCAGAGCTCAGTCTGCGTGGAGCCCTCCATGGGTGAAGATGGATTTTTTTTTTAAGTGCGTCGGTTATTATGGATTTTGATTTGTCCTTTTTGGGGGCTGAAAAAAGAAGATTTTAGAAGAAAGAAGACACCAAATGGTAAGTTTATTTTTTTTTTAAAGGTATTTAGACAAGGGTCCCCCATCATTATTTTTAGGATGAGGGGGGTAGGTAAGGGTAATTTTTTTGGGGGAGTGGGTGACTAGGGGTTTGGGGACCCCTAGTCATCTGGGGGGAGGGGGATTTTTATTTATGGCCCCCACTGCTCAAGGTTGGGGGCTGGAGGGGAGGATATTAGGTCGCCCCCTTATTGTAATTTAGGGCCCCAACCTGCCGCGCAGGGGTGGGGGCTGGGGGGAGGACTTAGGTCCCCCCTTATTGTTATTTAGGGCCCTCACCCACCGCACAGGGGTGAGGACATTAGGTCCCACCTTATTGTTATTTAGGGCCCCCACCCACCATGCAGGGGTGGGGGCCGGGGGAGGACATTAGGTCCCCCCCCAATTTTTATTTATGGCCCCCACCCACCACTAAGGGGTGGGGGCTGAGGGAGGACATTAGTTCTCCCCCATTTTTTATTTATGGCCCCCACCCACGGCTCAGGGGTGGGGGTGGGGGGAGGACAGTCGCTACCCCTTATTGTTATTTAGGGCCCCCACCCACCGTGCAGGGGTGTGGGCTGAGGGGGAGGACATTAGGTCCCCCCAATTTTTATTTCTGGCCCCCACCCACTGCTCAGGGGTGGAGGCGCGGGGTAGGACAGTAGGTCCCCCCATTTTTTATTTATGGCCCCCACCCACCATGCAGGGGTGGGGTCCGGGAGGGAGGACAGTAGTTCCCCCCTTCACATTCTTATTTAGGGACCCCACCCGTCGCACAGCGGTGGGGGCAATAGGTTTTTTTTGTTTTTTTTTACTGTGAGCAGCCAATGGCTGTTTACTAGTCACACCCCTACTCACGGTATAGCGAGTAGGGGCTGAATTTACTAATACTAAGTAATCTTTACTTAGTATTAGTAAATGTGGCTGAAAGACCAATTTAGGTGACCAATATTAGGTCTTTCAGCCTTTTGGTAGATAGCTCCCTAATACCGTGTGAATTAGGGAGTTATCTACTAAGTGGCTGCTTATTTTATGTTATTTTTAAGTGATTTCCCGATCCACATTTGTTTGCAGGGCACTTGTCCTACTCTTACCCCCATTTTACTTCCTTTTGCAGCCCTCTAGCCCTTTCCAGGAGTTTTTTAGAGCCATTTTTGTGGCCAAACGTTCGGGTCCCCATTGACTTCAATGGGGTTTGGGGTTCAAGTTCGGGGTCAAGTTCGAGCCCGAACCCGGACTTTTTTTCAAAGTTCGGCCGAACCCGCCGTACCCAAACATCCAGGTGTCCGCTCAACTCTACAAATTACTGAATTGGGTCAAGGCTCTTAACAGCTGCTCTAATAAAGTTAACAGAGCTCTCACAGAGACCTTTCAAATTCGGAACGGGACCAGACAGGGATGCCCATTCTCGCCTCTATTTTTTGCCATGACTCTGGAACCCCTATTATGACACATACGGAGGAATGCAGACATCTCGGGCTTCAAATGGAATGGATACAAGCAAAAGATGCCAATGACCTACTATTCTTCATCTCAAGAACCCACACCATTCTGCCCTGCCACTGGCCTTAAACTCAACCTGTTCAAGTGTGAAGTCCTCAATGTCTCAGTAAACAAGGATGAGTGTTTATAAATAAAGCCACACTTTTCTTTTAAATGGTGTGCAACCCAGATGAAATTCCTGGGAATATACATATCCAGCAACCATGCTGACCTTTACCAACAGAATTTCATACCACTCCTACAACAAATCCAAAAGGACCTGAGAATTTTGAATTCCACCCCTCTATTATGGCTTGGCCGTATAGCGGTAATATAAATGAATATACTACCCAGATTACTCTACAAGTATCAGACAATACTAGTGACTGTGCCAACGGCATTCTTCTCATCTCTGCGATCTTCGATGTGTGATATGGCTTTGTCATAATCTCTTATGCCTACCACGTTCATGAGGCGGCCATGCCTTGCCTGATCTATACAAATATCATCAAGCAATGGTCCTCCAAAGGATTGTGGATTGGGATGTGGCCTTGTGTCAGGGAGTTGCTGGAAGCGGTTTGGAACACCTGTAAGGCACACTATTAGACTAGGAGAGATACTTTCCAATGGCCCAAGAACTAACATTACAGATATGGAAGCAGATCCGAGATGTACCACACCTGTCACCTAGGCCGAGCCCCCTCATGCCTCTGATGCCTAATCCACTGCTTGGCGCCGGTTTACAACACAGGGCATGGTCATACCTTGGAGATACAGAATACATACTGCTGAAGAGGGTCTTGGGGAACTCCAGACTGATAGCACTGGGAGACCTCCTGATGATGGGGTCCCATGGCAATTGTAGAGGTTCCACTATTCCCAAATCCAACCCTTCTATCAAGGCTTCCAGGAAAGCTCCGCACTACGTCAAGTCATGTCCTGGTTTGAGGAGCTGTGTGCTGACCAGGGTGGCCTGTTCAAAGCTATATCGACACTTTACCAACACCTTTTGGTGGGGGGTTGAGTAAGAGAACGATGTTTAAACAATGATTGGAAGAATTAACAGAAAAATCTTTTTCGAATGCTTAGTGGGAAAAGATCTTGAATTTAACACCACCTGAACGCTATAAGCTCTCGATACCAAGAGGTTAACTACAAACTACTCTCCTTTTGGTACAGGACACCTGCCCTCCTACACAGGATCTTCCCAATGGTCCCAGTGAAATGCTGGAGCTGCAATGAAGCAGAGGACTGTGGTGGGACTGCACTGGCATATGACTGTTCTGGGAGGAGGTCAGGAATAAAATCATGGAAGTCCTAGGTGACTATCTACCTCTAGACATTGACAATGTGCTATTGCATTCTGCACCCCTTCCTATCGGCAAATATAAGAAATCAAAACTCAGGCATCTCCTTAATGCTGCAAAATCCATGATAATAGCTCCCTTGAAACCAACCATGTCTCCCACACTGAACGGTGGCGGGGGATGATGACAGGGGGGATGCACCCCATTACCTGTATGCTATACATACTTTCCTCATCTTCTTACTGCAATCATCCTACTTCCTCTTTTCTACTACTTCCTTACTTTCGACCTATCTAGGAATATTTTAAGTAGCATCATATTCCGCTTTCTATCTTTTATACGTACCACAAACCACTGAAGGACTGACCGGGAGTGAGGGGTGGAGGGAATGTGACTTACTGCAATGACTACATCTATACAACATGCAGCTGTAGGCTGGAGACAGGGAACATGACGTAGGAATATGGGATGTAGCGTAGGGG